CTCTCTTGGCAATGCCCCATAGATTCTCTATGGGGTTAAGGTCAGGCGAGTTTGCTGGCCAATCAAACACAGTAATCCCACGGTCATTGAACCAGGTTTTGGTGCTTTTGGCAGTGTGGGCAGGTGCCAAGTCCTGCTGGAAAATGAAGTCAGCATCCCCATAAAGCTTGTCTGCGGAAGGAAACATGAAGTACAGTGGACCAACACCAGCAGATGACACTGCTCCCCAAATCAACACAGACTGTGGAAACTTCACACTGGACTTCAAGCATCTTGCAGTGTGTGCCTCTCCATTCTTCCTCCATACTCGGGTACTTGGTTTCCAAATGAGATGCAAAAGTTGCTCTCATCAGAAAAGAGGACTTTGGACCACTGAGCAACAGACCAGGTCTGTTTTTCTTTAGCCCAGGTAAGACGCTTCTGACGTTTGTTGTTCAGGAGCGGCTTGACAAGAGGAATACGACATTTGGATCCGTCTGTGTGTGGTGGCTCTTGATGCACTGACTCCAGCCTCAGTCCACTCCTTGTGAAAGTCCCCAACACTTTTGAATGGCCTTTTCCTGACAATCCTCTTCAGGCTGCGGTCATCCCTGCTGCTTGTGCACCTTTTTCTTCCACACTTTTCCCTTCCACATAACTTTCTATTAATGTGCTTCATTAGAGTGGGACACTTTGATTAGAGCTGATTAGAGTGGGACACTTTGAGCCGAGAATATTGTACCTTTTCACAATATTCTAATTTTCTGAGATTGTGGATTTGGGGTTTTCATGAGCTGTAAGCCATAATCATCACAATTATGACAAATCATGGCTTGAACTATCTTGCTTTGCATGTAATGAGTCTATCTCATATATTAATTTCACCTTTTAAGTTGAATTATTAAGTGTTCTTGCATGGCAAGACCACTTACTGTTATCTCACATATATATTCTTATTATTGTAGCCAAATTTACCACCCTAACTCCTCCCACAGTTTTTACACTACATACACAGTAATATACCGGATTGTTCCCGATTGGTGTGCTATTACTTTGTGGTTTCGCCGAATGGTTCACGAAATATTGCGGTTTTTGTGGTGAAATTGGTCCTATAGGAATGAATGGCGGAATGTTCAAAACTAGAGTGGGAGCTGACAAAAGCTAGAGTGTGAGATGAAAAATCAGGACATGATTTCTAAACTGCCATCACTCCCTCATTTTCAAGCCCACCCACACAAATCCTATATCAAAACGTTCAGCTATCCCTGCTGCCACTAAAAATGTCCATGGCTAAGCCATAGTCCTGATAGTTTTCACAATATGACCATTTGTTTGCAACTCACGCCGCCCATTGACATTCATTGAAACTCCACTCTAGCCACCTCAAATTTGAAGGGCAATTTCTAAACTGTGACTGTGCCTTCATTTTTAATATTTCAGAGACATACTATGCATCAAAATGTAGGTCTGGGTCTTGTGTTTCTCACAATATAAAGCTCTTTGGTGTAGGATTTACAATTTTTAAAATACAACCGTTTGAAAATGGCAACCACCAGTGAAGTGAGCAAGTTGGAGCAGTTTGTTCTTAACCACTCTTCTCTGCCCTTGCTGTAGAGTGAGTTGCCATAGGAACCCAGGTGTGTGAGCAGGCAGCAGAGTGACAAAAGCTAGACTGTGAGCTGAAAAATCAGGATATGATTTCTAAACTGCCATCACTCCCTCATTTTCAAGCCCTAGACTACTGGTGGAGACAAGAACACTTCACACAATTTCCCCAGAAATTGTAGCTTTTCTAGTTGAAATAAATGAACTTTTGCACAATATTCTATTTTTTTTAGTTTCACCTGTATATGTGGCTGTACAGACCTGTACAGAGAGCTCCTCGCACAGTTACGGGCGCTACTTGCAATGAGGAGCTTTCCGATCATGTGACGGTGGTCACATGATCATAAACCCCACCCCGCCTCCTGGCATCAGAAATGCTCTAAAGGGACAGGAGGCACCAGCATTAAGGGGTTAAGTTCACCGGGGAGCAGCTTTATTGTTAGAATCTTCACATGACTGCAGTCTCCACCTGGTCCCAAGCATTGGTGAGCACTCACCGTGCATAATAGTACCCATGCGTGCACGGGCGAAGATGACCCCACCCACATACTTTTGTTGTTCCTGTCCCACTGACCACTATCATTGGAGTAGGAAGTAAGGGGAATCATCCTGACTAAAAAGCAGACAATTCCTGCCAAATGTGTTTTATAACTATGTATGTCCTCATTGAAGATATCTCTCACTTCCTGCATGAGGGACCACCAATACAAGGACAGAGAGCAAAGAAAAGTAACAAAGTTAAAGACAACTCTAGCGCTCACCCCCGATGGAGCCGCTGGAACTACCGGGCACTTCTGTCCTTACTTCAGTGAAGAACCATATATATATTGGATCCACAGCACACCAGTACACCTTGTGGGAAGTTTTATAAACAGGTTTAATAAGACAGGTAAAACTCTGAAATAGACTGCAAATTAACCTGGAAAATAGCAGTTAAATGCACTGAATACACAATCCTTCTAGAATTGGCACAATAACATCAATAAACACAATATTCATGTATATATGTATATACTGCTATAGCTATAGATCAGAATTAACCCCCTGCAACTACAGCAGCAATATGTCCCCAGCTAAACTGACATCTCTTAGGCTCAGTCCCAAATTCACTTGTATACTGTGGGATTGTAACACTGTGTGAGTCTATGAGTTGCACAGGCCTGTGTTAGTGAATCATTGGAGCACTCTTAAGGACTGACATGTCACTGGTTAGCAGTTGCTCACCACATGCAAGAAGAACAGTCTCCAGGGGTTAACTCCTTGAAGGGATGATGAATGGGGCTCTGTTGTTTCCTGTTGTCAATTGTCGGTGCTGCACAATCTCTGAGGTGCCTCACCTGGGATGGTCACACGCCTCCTCTGCGATTTCCAACACTCTCTCTTTGTGGTGGGAGATGTCATTGCTGTCGGTAACTGCTGTCGCGGGTGACCGGTACCAATGATCACAGTTACTGCTGACTTCAGCTGCTGTAGATAACCATTGTCCTTAGCAACCTCTGCTGTTCTGGAAACAATGTCAGTGTACTTCAACAGTAGGGGCTGCAGACTAGCTCCCACATGTCCTCTCCAAAAGCACATGTGGCTCCCCCCCCCCCCTCCTTGCAAAACATCCTGGTCCTGTAGTCCTGTGCAGTATAAAGTTACATTGTCTGCCTCTGTGATGAAACTGCAACTCCCACAAACACTCCAGCACTGCTGAAAGCTGAGCCAATCAAACCCTTTCTGACAAAAAGGGAAACAGTTCTTTAAAAGGGAAGCAGCAATGGCCCGCTACACATCCATAACTACCTGGGGGTTATAAACGTTCCTCACTATCTGAAATGTTGGGGGAAAAAAGTTTTGGTTGGTTTTCTTCTGCCATCACCTGTCCTGCACTGGGTATCCTATTCTGAAAAACCTTGTTCAGGGGTATAATCTAGATGTTCAAATCTCTGCACATATTCAGAAATGACAAAATATTCTGATTGTTTTCTATTTCAGCTAATTTGTATATTGGTTGCCCTTCCAGCTTTGTAAACTGAAAAATATTTTATGACAGCTGCCAGTGTTACGATCACCTTACTAGCCAGAAGAACCATGCAGTATCTTCCATAGGTCCTAATTGAAAAGTCACTTTCCTGAAAGCTGCAGCTCCAGGACCAGGTCACACGCTGATCTAAGGTAAGTACAAGGGATAAAGTTAGCATCGGAGAGGGTGAGGTCAGTTAGGATGAAGTTATTGCAAAGTATAGTTACCCTTTAAACAACATCCACTAAATACCTTTAAAAGCTGAACTTAGAATGTTTTCCTTTGAGGTGCATTTAAATGTTCATTTAGATGTAATCATTTATGATTGCAAACATCTGTTTGTCTATCTTCTTCAAAATGTACTGTATATTAAATGGCTATTTTAAAAGTACCTCCAGGAAGAAAAGCTCCATGCTCCAGAGCTTCTTGAATTTTGTTTGCGGCTCTTCTCCAACATTCAAGTATATATTTAAAATTGACCTGGTCCAATCGAACTTCCAGCCTTACAGTTGGCTGCAAAGCTGCAGAGGCCTGCCAATCTTAGTATCAGACTTATTTTTGCTGTCTACTGCTTGGCATAAAATGTACTGGCAAAACTAAACACTTCCTAGAAAGCAGCATCACAGCCACTTAGTGAAGAGGAGACCATTTCCATTCTATACTACTGTAACGGTACCCCCGAAGGAGCCCCTTGGTAACTTGGGGTTCTCTGTTCCGTGTCTCGACTTCAAGAATAATTTCAGCCTCTTTGACACAAAATCACTGCAAACATGGATAAATACACAAGTGTAAAATACCTTTAACCTGGCTGTGGGCTACAACCAGTAAATAGACACACGCCCATTTAGTGAAAATGCTCTTAATCTATTGATATGGATTAGAATAAATTGCAAATTGGACATAAATGAGCACACAACCAATAGATTGTAACACAGTCTGTTAGCCAGAGTAATAACTATGTTAACCACTTACCCTCCGGAGGATTTACCCCCCCCCCCCCCTTCCTGACCAGGCCATTTTTTTGCCATACGGAGCATTAATTTAACTGACAATTGTACGGTCATGCAATGCTGTACCCAAATTAAATTTACGTAATTTTTATCCCACAAATAGAGCTTTCTTTTGGTGGTATTTAATCGCCTATGCGTTTTAATTTTTTTTGCGCTGTAAACAAAAATGAAAAAAAAAAAACTATATTTTGGACATTTTGCTATCAAACATGTCCAGTAAAAAAATTCAAAAAATAAAAATTTTGTCATAAATTTAGGTCAAAATGTACTCTGCGGACATGTCTTTGCTAAAAAAAATCCCAATACATGTAAATTAATTGGTTTACGTGAAAGTTATAGCATTTAAAAATGGCGGTATATATACTGGAGTTTTCTTTTTTACTAGTAATGGCAGCGACCAGCGACTTATAGCGGGACTACGGCGGGCATTCTGACACTGGGGGAAAACTGACTTGATGTCACTGACATCGCCAGTGACACCAGTACAGGGATCAGTGCTATTAAAAAGCACTGACACTGTACTAATGGCACTGGGCAGGAAGGGGTTAACATGTGGGGTGATCAAAGGGGTAACTGTGTGCTGTGTGCTATTTTACTATGTGGGCTGTGTGTGCTTTATACTGTAAGCACGATGCTTTGTATGGCTCTGCGATGCAGAGCCATACAAAGCAGTGTGCAGGAGCTGACAGGGGAGAGATCTGTATTGTTTACATACAGGTCTCTCCCCCATCGGTAATATTCAGAGATCGCCGGGTGCCAGCGGGAAATCACCGGCTGGGACCCAGTGTTTGACAGCCAAGGCCGCAAACGGCGGTATGGCCCCCTACCTGGAACTGCAAACTCACATATATATTATTATTTTTATACAGGATTTTGAACACCCGTGCTGCCCTATAGCAGTATTTCTGTTAAAGGGCGGTGCATAAGCGGTTAAATTGGCAATTTAATTTTATACCCCTAACTAGAATCAGAAGGGTAAGTTAGTAAATCAGCAACAAACAATATTATTAAACATTAAATGCAATATAAATGATGACAACACTACACTAGTTTAGAGTGTACTCTAAAGGAATGGCCAGCATGCAGCATCTCTTAAGAGGTACCTTTTTAACTGAAAAAAAAGCCTCCAGGCAGCAACTGTTAGAAACAGTCTTTAGTCCTGACTCTTCAGACAGCTAAATGTTGGGGCCCGTTGGCAATCAAAAAGGCCTGCAGGCAGTATCAGGGCAGCTGGAAGGTAGTTCCTAATGGCTCAGTTGCTAACAGTGGTAACAAGTAGCGACTACAAGGCCCAGTCACTAGACCCAGCGACACAGCAGCAGTGGTCTCTCTTATCAAGTATCTGCTCACTTTGGGTTGCTCATGGTAGGCAGCTTCATCTCTCCACTAAATCTGGTCACACTCTTTAGTCTACGGTTGACCCTCACACAGCAGTGGGCTTCCGCTGGCCCAGGCTCTTTCTATCTTAAACGGAGCTCCTCAATACAGTCCTGTCACATCCCTCTCCTGTCACACTCTAAGGAGAAACTTTTTGCGGATATATTTGGTTTTCTTCTCCTTGCTGATTGGTCCATTGCTGTTGTTAGGAAAGAGGTGGAAGGTAGTTCACACACACAGCCCTCTGTTGTGGTTAAACTCTGCGCTGCTGACTAGATGAGGGGGAAAGTGGGGGGGTGACACATACAGTTGTGTTCAAAATAATAGCAGTCAGACATCACTAACCTGATCAATCACTGTTTTTGGTAGAAATGATATTTCTACGCTGCTGATTCTGTGTAATTGAGTCACTAATTGAAAGGGGCATGTTCAAAATAATAGCAGTGTAGAGTTCTATTAGTGAGGTCATTCATTCTTTGAAAAACAGGTGGCAATTATTGCCCTTATTTAAGGAAGGAAGGCAGCAAATGTTGTACATGCTGGTTACAGTGCATTTCTCTCTGAAATTCTGAGGAAAATGGGTCGTTCCAGACATTTTTCAGAAGAACAGCGTACCTTGATTAAAATGTTGATTGGAGAAGGGAAAACATATAAAGAAGTGCAGAAAATGATAGGCTGCTCAGCTAAAATGATCGCAAATGCTTTAAAATGGCAACCAAAACCTGAAAGATGTGGAAGAAAGCAAAAAACTACCATTTGATGGGATAGAAGAATAGCCAAAATGGCAAGGACTCAACCAACAATCAGCTCCAGGAAGATCAAAGAAGGTCTAAAGTTACCTGTGAGTACTGTTACAATTAGAAGACGCCTATGTGAAGCCAAGCTATCTGCAAGAAGCCCCCGCAAAGTCCCACTGTTGAAAAAAAGATGTGCTGAAGAGGTTACAATTTGCCAAAGAGCACATTGACTGGCCTAAAGAGAAATGGCACAACATTTTGTGGACTGATGAAAGTAAGATTGTTCTTTTTGGGTCTAGTGGCCGGAGACAGTTTGTCAGACGACCCCCAAACACTGAATTCAAGCCACAGTACACTGTGAAGACAGTGAAGCATGGTTGCGCAAGCATCACGATGTGGGGATGTTTCTCATACTACGGTGTTGGGCCTATTTATCGCATACCAGGGATCATGGATCAGTTTGAATACATCAGACTACTTGAAGAGGTCATGCTGCCTTATGCTGAAGAGGAAATGCCCTTGAAATGGGTGTTCCAACAAGACAACAACCCCAAACACACCAGTAAACGTGCAACATCTTGGTTCCAGACCAACAAGATTGACGTTATGGAGTGGCCAGACCAATCCTGGATCTTAATCCAATAGAAAACTTGTGGAGTGACATCACAAATGCAGTTTCTGAGGCAAAACCAAGAAATAGAGAAGAACTGTGAAATGTAGTCCAATCATCCTGGGCTGGAATACCTGTTCACAGGTGCCAGAAGTTGGTTGACTCCATGCAACACAGATGTACAACAGTTCTCAGAAACAGTGCTTATACAACTAAATATTAATTAAGTGATTCAAAGGAAAGCTAAATCTTCAAACATTTTTCAGTTTATATAGTGAATGTTTGAGTTTGTAAAGAAGAATACAAACAGTGCTATTTTTTTGAACAGTCTAATATTCACTTTTCTTCAATTTCTGTAGAGGAACAACACAAATTTGATATATTTTTCTTCATGTTTTGATTTGGAATAGAATGTGTAGTGTTCCCAATGTATATGTGTGTATGGAAATAAAAGCTATTAGAAGGATTTTGAGCTTTATTCACTTTTTTTCAACACACTGCTATTATTTTGAACACAACTGTATGTAGCACTACCCCCTTAGGATTCGCTGAGTTTTTTTGGGCTCCCTGTCACTCTTGACCCCACTCTGAAAGCCCAACCCCTCCTGACACCACTGTACACTTCTGGCCAAAGTAAACTTTCTCAATTCTACCAGAAAATAGATTCACACAAGTTAAAGTGAACTGATACTTTGTTTATATTACAGTTAAGTAGGTGCACAGTAAAGCAGCACTAAATTATTGGTGTGCAAATAATAACAGTTTTCACTCTTTGTAATTTTAAGCAAAGGTCAATACACCTATAGAAAAAATCCTCAGTCAGTTTTGGACGTCCTGCAATTCAGATTTTAACCAAAAGCCCCAACTCTGAGATGTTTCTGTCCCCAGTGAGCAAAGGAAAACTATTTAAGAGTAAGGCTAGCTCACTTTGGGCCCTCAGAAGCTGACAGCTAGGGTCAAGTCTGGAGTAAGGAAAGAGCTCTTTCACTAGGAAGACTACTGTCCCTTTAACTGCAGTGGAAGATCTTCTGCGCACTTGTTGCGCACCCAGTTGGTGCACTACAAGAATTAAGATCTCCTTGGTTGCAACAGATGGAAGTCCCTCAAAAGGATGTAGGCCAGCACAGACACTATCTCTTTAAGCAGAATTTAACTTGGGCAGTACCCCTTTCAGTTACAAGATGTGATGCAAGTTTTTTAAGCAAGAGGCTTACAGTCTGGGCAGAAACACTTATTGGCAAAAAGGTTCATTCCTGTCTTGGCCGCACTTGCAAATGCCAGCAATGACAAGTGTCCCTTGATGGATGTAGACCAAATGCAGAGGAAAAAGTGGTGTGGCTTGGCCCGCAGAGGGCAGACACTGCAGCTGGCTCTGATAACTGGATTATGCTAGGAATGTGTTTGCTAATAGGCCAGGTGAACTAGGCCTCAACTGGTGTAACTTGTGAACAATATCAGTAACTGTATAGGGAATGGCTGATTTGATAGAATGTCAGTGATAACTTAATTGGCTGGAGATTGGGACTCTCCCACCCAGTCTGTGGCATCATCCCAGTCACTGGTGGCCTCACTGTAGTGGTCCTGCAGTTCCTCTTGCAGATTTTGTTGGTAACAGCAGCCCTCCAGGTCTCTAGCTGACTGGGCCGTTCTCCAGAATCTTTTGTGATATCAGCAGTCAGCTATTCCTCCCTTCAAGCTCTCTCTCAGCTCACTTCCTTCCTCTGTTCCTTGGCTTCTATCTTTATATGCCTCTGCCCGCATGCCAGCTCCTCTGGGAAATGTAGTCCCCCAATTTGCCACCTTCTAAAAAAGTACTGCGGTTCAGTCTACAAAATACATAAAGCCTTTCACCCCAAGATGTGTACCACAGAGTTTCAGGACATTGTCACCTTCTGTCTCTTTTAACATCATGCAGTCTGAAAAATAGCAGGGTGTCACACATACAACCTGTAGCTTACTACTTCTCCCAACTGTCAACTGAGTAAGAGTAGAAGAAGACAAAGTTTTGCTATGCTGATTTATCACAATTACAATGAGGGAGCCAACAATTAGCAAATAATGGACCCAAACATAGAATGAAGGGCTTACCCAATTATAGGGAAAAGGGGGTAGAAAGGGAAACAAGAAACAAACGGGGTAGAGAAAGAAGGAACATGCAAGACAAGCACGGGCAAAACAGGTAGAGCAGGAAGGAGCTCCCCAAGACAAAGAAGAAAAGGGGAAAAAACATAGGGAAGTGGATTGAGGTGAAGTGGTCTACCCCGGGCAGGAACCACAAAGCCAAGGAAGTGGCATCATCGAGTAACAGACATCTCTCGTAGGTAAGAGTCAGGGTATATAAAATAATGCCATGGTCGCCAAGTTTCAGGAAAAGCTTCTTCTGTATTATGTAAGGTGGCCGAAAGATCCTCCATGTCCCCGAGGTCATTAACTTTAGCATACCAAAGAGCCATCCTCGGCGGATTAACATCTTTCCACCGGAGTGGAATATAACCTTTAGCAGCGTTCAGGAGTTGTATAGTGAGGGAGCACTTGTATTTTTTGATAGGTCTCTTTGATAGGTGCAACAGGCAGGCTGCCGGGTCACCACTCATGTCAACATCAGTAAGTTTTTTAATGACACTGAGCACTCCCTGCCAAAAAGGTTGAATCAATGGGCAATGCCAAAAAATGTGGAGCATGGACCCCTCCCCCATCCCACAATGCCAGCAGGAGCCAGAAATCTGAGAGGAGATATGATGAAGTGTAATGGGGCCCCTATACCATCTAGTGAGAATTTTATAGCCAGTTTCCTGGATCCTAGAGGCAATCAAGGATTTGTGGGAGAAATATAGAATCTTCTCCCTCTGCTGCGCCGTGAGTCACAGGTCCAGGTCCGCCTCCCACTTAGCTGGGAATTGTAGTACTTAAAGGAGGGCTACACCATATTTGTTAACGGAGGCTAATAGGCCGTGGACTTCAGGTCCCAAAAGTCACTGCACCTGGAAAAGGAGAACTTCACAGCTTGCCCTGGTAAAGTGATCCAGATCAGGGAAATCTAGAGGTGAGAGCTAAGGGCGCAGACCTATTGTCAGGGTCTGTGCACTACA